GCGCATCGTCAAAGTACAGATCTGCACCTTGAGAAGCCATGATGGCCACTACGCACAGAAGCCGAAGCACTTCAGACTTTGAGCTGCAAAGCTGCAAAATGCAGGCAAGTGCAGGCTTTGGCGGGACGACCTAGGATCCTTTTTTCGGGTGTTTGGTTCCTCTACATGCATGTTCAACAGTGTAAGAGGGCTGACTGCGGGTTCTAGCAGCGGCGATAACGGCGCGTTTGCCATACAATAACGGACAGTTTGGTTATTGCGTCTCAAAATTATGGTCTCTGCCTTGTACTCCTTTGTAAAATGGACGTGTAATACTGGGGGCCATCAATCAATTAAATGTGGCAGAATGGAGAGCAAGGGCGACCAAATTTTGATGAAACGGCCGGAAAACCTGCTTCTACTAAGCTCTCAGTGCCTGCAGCTGGCTGGTCGTCACATCACAGCGAAGCTACCAGCAACCCACAGCCATTGTGCAGGCGCTGCAGACCTATGTTCAACCACCGTTGTTTTGTGAAGTATCTTGTTATGGGCCAGCTCGCGTGTGATGTTTGCTGATTCAGTGCGACCCAGATTGTTAGGGAGATGTCAGGCGAATTGGTGATGATACTTGCTGAGTGGTTGCGGCCGGCAAATGAAAGTGGCCAACAGCATAGCACAAGCAGCCCAGAACAAGCCCTGACCACCACATCCTGCCAAAGTCTCACCTTGCATGCTGGCAGGAGTGCACTTTTGCCAGGCGGCTGTGATTCGTTGTCTGAAACCAGTAGAAGACCTGAGTGAGGCAGAGGTCTGCACGAGTTCCTCCCTCAAGACTCAGGACCTGACAAGGCTAAGCTGAAGGCATGGTCTGGTGCCAAATACAGCTCAACGCCCGCACGCTCGTAGAAGATTGTCTCCAGGATCCCCGGGTGCTCCTGCTGAAGGCGAACTGAGATTGCACATTGAAACAACAAGTCCTCTGGGGTCGAGGATACCGCGACTCTCAGACTTGCATCCTTGTGGTCTGTCTGGCAACTGGAAGGTTAGGGCCCAAAAAATCCACCTTTGTGCCGACCATCAAGGCAAAAAGCGCTCAACCAAGCTCTTCAAACCTAATCAGTTCATGACCTACATGCACAGAAGGACAAGCGGTCCCAGGAGAAGTCGTGACCCGCAAGAAGGCCGCCATCACCGAGGAGCGGCGACCAAGCTTCCAAGTCCCGACCTGTGAGAGCTACAGCTGCAGGTAGGGTAAATGTTTCCCTTTGATGCATTTCGACATGAGATGGCTTGAGGCTCTTGCAAGCAATTTGTGTTGGTGCTGTATCATGGCGCAAGATGCAATGCTCTTATGCCACGGCATCCATGCTCATGTAGGGTCCAAGGCCTTGCCCCGCCCCCCCCCCCCTCCAGCAACATGGCCTCATGCCCCCATGACTAAGTACCACGCGTGTGGGACTTGCGGAAGGGCCCAACCACAGGCAGCTTCAGGCAGCTTCAGGCCACCGAATGCGACCCAAGGAGATTCACACAGTTTGTTCCAAAAGTCCCCTAAGCCCAGGGCGAATTCCGTGTGCAGTGTGGTCTCCGTCCAGGAACCTCGGGATATCTGGAAAATCCGGTCGAGACCTCTGCATGGCAAGATCCGGCATTCGGGCCTAATTCAGGTAAACTAGTGTGCAGCTAACAGCCGGCAGCATCTGCTCGCGCAAGCGTGGAGCTGCGAGAAATACTTTGCACCCGGCACGGCATCGGCCACGAGTCCAGCTTGGCGGAACTGTGCGGGGAACATGTGCTTTATTTCCCATGAGGTAATGCCGGCTGTGGTGAAGCCAAGGCTTGCTACGGAGCTCCTGCCTTCGCAGCGGCCTCAACACTATCCATGGCCATGAGGTGGGCCTGAAGCAGGAGAGGGTAGACCCTCCTTTCAGGATCGCCCCGACTGGGATCCCCTGCCCGGTCTTGAAAGGGCTCCAGCGCAGCCAGCAGCGTCGCCTGCAGAAAGCGTAGGTTTGACAAAGCGCCACAGCGCACGACTGCAAGGGCACTGTTGACCATGTATGCCCCAAGCCATCTGAAATTCAGCAGAATGCTGAGCCTTCCTTTTCTTGCTTGGCATTGTTCGCATTCGAGCAGTTACAGTCGCGCATGTGTTTCATGCACTATATGACACCAAGCTGAAGGTGAACACTTCGTCTGCCAAAGGAAGCAGAAGGTGTAGAGCTGGAACATTGGAACACTATCCGTCTGTTGAAATTCCGCTGTCCACGGCGCGCAGCTTCAGCATTGGCTGACAGCATGCCAAGGAGTCGACTCTAGATGAAAATGAGACTGGCCAAGACGTTTTCAGAAAATCTTGCTACGCAACAGCATGAAAGCCTTGCACATTCAGTGACTATTCTTTGCTACTGTCATGGCCGTCCAGAAATGGCATCCTTGATCAACATGTCCATCCAAAATGGATGAAGCTAGCAGCTAGCTGCTCCTTGGCTAGGTTGGTCATTGCTGGCTTAGTCTGCACCTGCCGTGCCCTTCGACATATTCACCTTAGACAAAGCATTGGCACGCGCACAGCCACTTGTCCTTCTTATGCTCTACACTAGATGCGCTATCTGTACTCCTCCATTTGGAGCTAGGAAGGAGATGATCATCATCGTGCTTGATAGACTTCAAAACAGCCAGTCTGGTTGTCCCTGATTCATTTTTTGCAATGGACTTACTGACAAGTCCCCAAATGCAGCCTCGAGACAGTTTCACGCTTGAGCACCTGGGGCAGGCACAACACGGCAAACGAGGAAGTTGCTCTCCACTACCATGGCCACAACGGAGAAAGCATTTGGCAAAAGCATT